ATTCTGATGGGAGATCTAAACGCCAAAGTCGGAATGGACAACACCGGATATGAAGACATCATGGGACTACATGGACTGGGAGAGAGAAACGAAAACGGGGAAAGATTTGCAAATCTGTGTGCGTTCAACAAATTGGTCATAGTCGGCACAATATTTCCACACAAACGTATACACAAAGCTACATGGATCTCACCGGACCACACCACAGAGAACCAGATAGATCATATTTGCAACAATAAAAAGTTCCGAAGGACAATGGAAGATGTAAAAACCAGGAGAGGAGCGGACATAGCTTCAGATCACCACCTAGTTGTGGCCAAATTGAAACCGAATCTAAAGAAGAACTGGACAACTGGACAAACAGCACCACGAAGGTTCAATACAGCCTTCCTTCGAGATACTGACAAACTCAATGAATTCAAGGTAGTTCTTAACAATAGGTTCCAAGCCTTACAGGATCTACTGAAGGAAGAAGAAACTACTATGGAGGATAGCTGGAAAGGTATCAAAGAAACATTAACTTCAACGTGTCAAGAGGTTCTGGGCCCCAAGAAGCATCATCACAAGGAATGGATCTCTACAGAAACACTGGACAGGATCAAAGAAAGAAAGAACAAGAAGACAGCAATTAACAACAGTCGAACAAGAGCAGAGAAAGTCCAAGCACAAGCAGAGTACATAGAAGCAAACAAGAAAGTGAAGAAGAGCATTAGAGCTGATAAGCAAAAATACGTGGAAGAACTAGCAACGACGGCGGAAAAAGCTGCAAGAGAAGGAAATATGAGACAGCTTTACGATACGACGAAGAAGCTTGCAGGGAAATACAGTAAACCAGAGAGACCAGTCAAAGACAAAGAAGGAAGACCAATCACTGAGATTCAACAACAGCGCAACAGATGGGCAGAGTACTTCGAGGAACTCCTGAACAGGCCGGCTCCAATGAATCCACCGGACATCGAAGCAGCACACACAGATCTTCCTATAAATGTCAATCCACCAACGACAGAAGAAATCAGAATGGCCGTCAGACAAATCAAGAGCGGGAAAGCAGCAGGACCTGACAATATACCAGCTGAAGCGTTGAAGTCAGACATCGAAGTAACTACAAGCATGCTTCATCTTCTATTCAAGAAGATTTGGGAGGAGGAACAAGTGCCGATGGATTGGAAAGAAGGACACCTCATCAAGATTCCAAAGAAAGGAGATCTGAGCAAGTGTGAAAACTACAGAGGCATTACACTACTGTCAATACCGGGTAAAGTCTTCAACAGAGTGTTACTGAACAGGATGAAAGACGCAGTTGACGCTCAACTTCGAGATCAACAAGCTGGATTCCGTAAGGACCGGTCGTGCACAGACCAGATCGCGACACTACGGATCATCGTCGAACAATCAATTGAGTGGAACACGTCACTGTACATCAACTTCATTGATTATGAGAAGGCATTTGACAGTGTAGATAGGAAAACTTTATGGAAACTACGAGTTTCTGAGAAGATTGTCAACGTTATCCGGAACTCATATGACGGATAACAGTGCAGAGTAGTGCATGAAGGACAGCTGACAGATGCATTCCAAGTAAGGACCAATGTAAAACCAGGCTGTCTACTCTCTCCCTTCCTCTTTCTTCTGGTGGTCGACTGGATTATGAAGACCTCGACATCTGAGAGAAACTACGGCATACGATGGACAGCTCAGAACCAATTAGACGATTTGGACTTCGCAGATGACCTAGCCCTCCTATCACATACACACGAACAAATGCAGATAAAGACAACCAGTGTAGCGGAAGTCTCTGCATCAGTAGGCCTAAACATACACAAAGGGAAAACCAAGGTCCTCAAACACAACACGGAGAACAGCAATCCAATCACTGTTGATGGCGAAACTCTGGAAGACGTGGAATCCTTCACATACCTGGGAAGCATCGTCGATAAACAAGGAGGTTCAGATGCAGACATAAAGGCTAGGATTGGCAAATCAAGGACAGCATTCCTTCAGCTGAAGAACATATGGAACTCAAAACAACTTTCAACCAATATCAAAGTCAGAATCTTCAATACGAACGTCAAGGCAGTTCTACTGTACGGAGCTGAAACTTGGAGAACTACAACAACCACCATCAATAAGGTACAGGTATTTATTAATAGCTGTCTACGCATGATACTCAACATCCATTGGCCGGATACCATCAGCAACAGCCTTTTGTGGGAGAGAACCAACCAGCTTCCAGCTGAAGAGGAAATTAGGAAAAGACGATGGAAATGGATAGGACATACATTGAGGAAATCATCAAACTGCATTACGAGACAAGCGCTAACTTGGAATCCTGAAGGGAAGCGGATAAGAGGAAGGCCAAAGAACACATTACGTCGGGAAATAGAATTATATATGAAAAAGATGAATAAGAACTGGAAAGAGCTTGAAAGGATTGCCCAGGACAGGGTTGGATGGAGAATGCTGGTGAGGGGCCTATGCTCCTTCACGAGGAGTAACAGGCGTAAGTAAGTAAGTAAGTAAGTTTCAGTGACGGTTCGGATTGATGTTTGATTTTGTTTGGGTCTGGTGTTGTTTTAATAAAACGTGTGGTTCCTGACTTATGCTCTTTTAATAATTTACTGATACACAATATGATTAATTAAACTACAACGTGATGTCACAGAAAATAGTTCCCTTAACTCCATTGGGATACAGCAAACCTACTCATCTTCCCGAAAAGCGGATTAGTAGTTATGTTGGTGGAGGAATGAAGTTATTTGCAGTTACTTTTAAGCTGTGGAACACAGGAGCCTTACTTATTTATATTGTACATCATCTAGTTCGGTCAGCAGTTTCAAAAATAGCGGGTACGCTGGTGGTTTTCGTTTTCTGTACGTCCTTCTGTTCTCGTTATCATTTACCTCTTAACTACTCTTTAGTAGTATTTTATTACCTTATGGACATGCACAACCGTATTTACTTTGATGGTCACTGCGTCTTGCATCGTTCTTATTATTTGACAGTGCACCAACAAACCTGTTAACTCAGTTCCCGTGTTTAGGATGTCTTCTGTGTATTTAGGGCTCTTCATTCTATTGAGAAGTGGCTCATGGCCACACGAAACTCAGCAGTAGCCATGGTGGTGAGGACTATATGGATACCTGTTGTTTAGGGGATGTGAATTCACGTCGGAAATAAGTAAAAGACGTGTCATTTGTAATTGTGATGCTAAGAACTTACTGCCGGTCCCGTATACTAATATGCTTATCACGGCGTTGAGGAGTGTGGTTTTTGAGTACTTAGGTCTTGTTGCTGCCTGTGCCGGAGCTTGTGTGACTTTCTAATTTGGTCGGAAGCATTAGTCTTCAGTCTTCAATAATAAGGATAGAAAGTCTATCGACCTATATTAATCCTTACAGTTTGTAATACTGTGGAGGTCCAGTCTCGTTTTGAATATATCAACAGGATGTGTTGATATTACGTGTTCCAGTAGAGAATTCCAGGGATTCACTACTCCAGACGTAAACGATTTGATCTCGGTTTTTGAACTTTCTTCGAATGTACTCTCAAATGACCAGTCCTAGACGAAAGTAAAAGATAAGACATGTTGATACCAAGATCATCGTTTGGTATACGATAAGCCAATATTAGATCACCCCGTATTCTACTGTAAGATTACGTGACACGAAAATATTTAAATTGGGATATATGTGTATCTTGAGTTTTCATATCCTCAATTTTTACATTTGGTTTCGTTCGTTTTATCCGGGCTGTTGCCCCACGTTTAGGTTCTCACTATGATTAGTATTACAGGATCATGTTACTTTGACTACTTTCATTGTTAACTCGGTGACAGTATAGTTTCACAATCACTACCTATGTACTCTTCCAGAAACAAATTCGGATCTCTATTTAAGTGTTCGATCTAGATGGTTATCGATTAACCTCCAGTATTCGTGTTTTGAAAATAAAATTCCAAGATAAATCCTCTACTTTTCCTATTCGATCACCAGAGCGTCCTTTTGTTCCTGAGTTACTTGGTGGATGATTTATTCTGAGACTTTCTCTAAATCTTACTATTGTAATGTGTCTTTTATAGTTTAGTTGGTATACTGGTATATAGATACTGTTTTTTTTTAAAAAATTTCATGACACATAGATCGTTTCTGAAAATTGTTCTAGAGCTTTATTTTTTTATAATATTGACTTATCAGTGTTTTATTATTTTATTTTATTTCAACACAAAGATATTAGTACAAGGAGGCACCAAATACATATGCGCCACACAGATCTCATTTGATAAGTGTGAGGGCTGTGATACTGCCCGGGTGCCCAAACCGAAGCAGGTGGTTTTCTTAGGGGGCCACACTCCGAGCCTTCGACCTGAATGTCTGACCCACAAGGCAGTGGAGCATCGTAAGGAGATGCAGTCCCATGGTAGCCGGTGACCAACGATTGGTTTATACGTCATTTGTTCCTTCAGGATACTGGAGCCCATGTGCACCATTGGTTTGGGATCCGGTTAAAGCGCCGAACATTCGCTTTTCTTCCTCTCATTTTCGTAAATAACACCCCCGCCACGAGAAGGCAGTGAGTAGGACTTCCCTGACAGAGGCTATATACGCGTGGCCATGTGAGAGCATTTTGAGAGGGTGAGCGGACTCTCCCCACTCTCGGCCGTACCAGGGCATTTGGGGACTATCAGCGTACATCAATTTAAGCTTACCAGAAGTTTGATCATTAAAATAAAATAATATTTGTAAATTCTATATGTTTATGATCAATTTAAGTTCAATTCGCAAACATCTTGACTAAAAATATTCCGTTTTCGTAAGTGGTAGGGATACGAACTCCGCCCTCAAATATTCTATCTAGATAAGGTGGAAATTTTTAGAAATAATTTTACTTCCAATATAATCCCGAATCTACCAAGTAATTCATGAGTAACATTGAAAATAGTTACCTAAAATAGTTAATTTTAATAGCATTATAGCTTCTGGAGTTGTCTTTCTTCGGTGGCACAAAAAATAAGTCTAAATAGGTTCGATGTCTAAAAAATGTGCTGAATATGGGTTATCGACTTTAAAAACTCTTGATGCATCTAGTTTTGTGCCATACTACATAATATCTGCGAGCACTAGTTTTTGTTGTGGAAGTTTCGTTTCAATTTATCAGAACTACACATTTTACACCGGCTGTTATCACTTATTCATTTAGGCACTTTAGATATTTGTTTTAGTCTTTCCTACATTTGCTGTACTATTCAGGCTGTAGTGATGACAGACTTAAACTTAAATTCCAGTAGTTAACGCTACTTTAACTATTTTATGTGTGCTTTTTCCGTGAAAGCTCACTTTTGAATAAAAGTTGTTTCCGTTACACGGTCCGATAAGTAAAAGAGTTAGATTTTAGAAACTTTACTTAAATTCACATCATACCGTCGGCTAGATGCTTTCACAGGTGACAGGTGGGACTTTGGCCAATGTGTTTTTATCTTTTGTTGCCAGTAAACATGTATGTTGTAGGGATTATTATAGTGCTATCCTTAACTATATGTCAAATAACATAAGAGAAAAAACTTGAGGTTATTCGTAACCGTAGTACAACTATAATTCTTACATACTTTAATCGTCTAGGTTAATTCATCTCTAATAATGACTACTGATTTTGCAAAATGCAATCCTAACAATGTTGATTCATCGAATGATCTTCCTCCGGAAATTGATAACGAAGTTTTAGAAGCGGATCTTGAGGAAAAACAGCGTCTAATAAGTCAGGTAAGCTTTTGTTTCTTTATTTTCATGTTTATAAATCGCATTGAGTGATTACATAGAAACTATAATCACTGAAAATAAGTTTTCAAACGAAATTTTTGTGACAAATGTTCAAGATTTGAAATATTCCCATAATGTCGTTCTAAATGTTCAAGAGTCATTTTTGACTTTTTTTTCTTTGTGGAGAGCCAGGATCTTTGGAGGTGCTGGTTATCCGTGGGAAACCTCCTGTTCCCATCATACAGTGCATTCAACTCTCATACCTGCTTTGTGTTTTACAGTCTGCTGACCGATCTGCTTGTCATTGTAGGATATTAGAGAACAAGTATTTCAACCAATATAGTTCAGTTGAATTGTTGCGTTAAGCAAGCTTAATCACTACGCCAATTTAGCATTTATTATTTTATGGATGTAAAAATGCAGTTTAATTGTTTAGCAAAATAAGTGACACTAAGATACAACGTTTTCAGTGTTTTGTGTTTTTAGAATTATTGTTGCATCTCATGTTGTGAAGCCCTATTCTGTATCTAAATGGTTACTTGCTCAACTCAAAACTAGGGACTCTTGAACTGTGCGTGAAGTCATGTTTGCACGCACTAGGTTCATGTTCTAAATTTTTCAAATCTTCATAACTAGTATTGATTTTATTTGTTCTTATGCTTTTTGTCCTAAACGAATGTAGATTTTGGAGCTACAACATACACTTGAGGATTTATCCACACGGGTAGATGCTGTGAAAGAAGAAAATTTAAAATTACGTTCTGAAAATCAAATTCTTGGCCAATATATTGAAAATATGATGGCGAATTCATCAGTTTTTCAATCAACGTCACCACGTGTTGATGAAAATAGGTCACGTACAAATAAAAGAGTTGGGAGATGATCACAATAAAATGTGATATATATTACATACAATAAGGTTGGCTAGAAATGCTGAAGTTAAAGATGGGGATAATCAAATTCTTAATACTTCATTTGCCTTAATTTCTTTGGAACCTGGTAGTTCTGCGAATTTCAGAGTTTTGAAATCACGACAGTGATAATAATATTTGCAATGTTGGATTTCAGCTATTTTCTCATCTTCGAATATTTCTCTTCGTAACTCTTTAAGGTGATAATCTTTGTTGTCTTTCTACTGCGCTTACACTAAACAAAGCACTTGTAATGAGATCAACAACAATATTAGTTTATTTTAATATGAAGGATGGCTTTTCTGTTGTTTTTAACTTCTTATTTTACGATCATGTGATTTTCGTTTTATTACATTGATACGCTTTTAGTTTTACCTCTACCTGAAGAAATTACATATGCATTTATCTGTTAGCAAGTAAAGTGTCAATGCTGTCTGCTTTCTTTTCATGCAAGCAGTTGTAATAATTTATCCCGACGTATCTTATCAATAACTGAGTTTTTCTGTAAATTTTATTGATTTACTATGTAGGAGAATTTCTAGGTGACGGAAAATTTTTGGAACTTGTGGTATATATCTTTAGTTTTTGTTAGTGTTGTAATGTGATGTGTCCAGTTCCAGCTAACCGTTAGTCAACAAGCGATCGGGTTAAGACGCACTACTTGTTAAATAGTCGTTTAATATTAGAATCGATGATATTATTTGGCATTTTCTTATCCAGTTTGAGAGAATATGATGAAAATTAAATGGCTATTCACTAGGTTTCAATATACTATAAAATCAATTCTTTCGGGTACATATTGTGATTATTTCATGAAACTTCGAGATTTGGGTAAACTTGAAAAAAACCCGTTTACTATCAAGATTCCTAGTGCTTTGGTGTAGAGCTGTTATGGATTTCCTGATACATCTAAGATTGAGCGACAATGATATGCACCTAACGAGGCGGAAGTCCGCAAGAAACTCCAACTATTGAAGCTCTATAAATCACCAGGTAACTTGCCTCCGGCCCTTTTTAAAAATGCTAGTGACTTTCTGGTTAAGGAACTGACAGTTGTTTAAAAAGGTCTGGCGGTTAAAGCGTTCCAACATCATGGAATAAGTAGGTTGTTGTCTCTATCTTTAAAAAGAGTTCACGTCGTCTCTGCAATAACTGTCAGGGGATAAGTCTACTTCCGATTGCGTCCAAGCTATTGGCTTCCGTTATACTTCGTAGGTTGTTCAAAACCCAAGAAAGATTAACTCGCGAGGAGCAGGCTGGGTTTCGTTCTGATCGAGGATGTATTGATCATATCTTCAACCTCCGCCAAATGTTAGAACACCGCCATACTTATCAAAGGCCAACAATCGTAGTGTTTCTTGATATCAGGGCTGCCTTCGATTCGTTGGATAGGTTTGTTCTCTGGGATTGTCTATTAAAGAAGGGTGCGCCTGAGAAGTTTATTAACATTCTAAAAGCCCTATACACAAACACCTCAGGCAGAGTGAGGGCATACAACCACCTTTCTCCATTGTTCCATTCAAGCAGTGGGGTTAGACAGGGTTGCCCAATCTCACCATTCGTCTTCAACTTTGCTACCGATGACGTTCTGGAAACAGCTCTGATGTATGTAGGTTATGGTGGTGTGGATCTGTTGCCTAAGGATCGACTTTTCGACCTTGACAATGCGGACGATATTGCCCTATCGCGCAATGGTACCCAAGCCATACAATTCGCACTTAATCAGTCGGTAATCAGTGTCCGTAGGTATGATGTGTGCTTTGCACCTTTGATGTGCAAGGTAATTTTACAAAAGTGGCAGGGCCCTGAGCGTGCACTAATCCTGGGTAGTGAGTGATAGAATTAGTAGGGAAGTTCGTGTGTTGGGGTAGCTGCGTAAGTGCTGGTGGTGGTGTGAGTAATGAGATCGATTCACGTATAGTGAAAACCAAAGCGGCTTATGCCAATCTGGGACATTTTTGGCTTTTTCGTGACAACTTGGCTATAAAACGTTTGAACAGTTTTGCTCTATGCTTGTGAAACGTGGCCTCTTCGAGTTGACGCTAGACGACTTGTAGTGCTATGTTAAGCCCACGTAACCTATTCTAGCTTCCGGATAAGCGTATATGTGCATTTATTATCCTATTCATCACGTCTGTAACCTTTTGTATCTGACTATAAATATGGATTAACGCTTGATTAAAACGAGTTGGCTCACATGCCTTCTCCACTTTGCTTCGCTCTTCCCTCTTTGTTTCGTCTCTCTGATTGCCTGTTCAAATCAATGAGTGCATGATATATACATATTCAAAATCCATCCTCATATTTGACTTATTTAATTCCGTTATTCGATAAGTATATACGAGAATAGCCGACACGTATATTTCAATAACATTATTGCGATCCAATTACATTCAGATATCAGGCCACTAAAGACTCACTGTGTTTGATCATCGTTTACTCCGAAGGATTGCTGACATCCAGTGGCAACACAATGTCAGTGATGAAGTCTCGACAACGTGTGTTTGGGCACTGCGGCGATAATTCACTGGGTGTTACCACTTTTCAAGAGTGCTCTAGGTCAAAAAATCTAATATAATTAAAGGGTCTAGTGTCTTTTATTTATCTACTAATTTCTCTCTTTAATTTTTGACTTTAACTGATAAAAACATATACCGGTTAAATTCTGTCTATAATTACGTGGGATGATCAAAGATGAAAGGTTACTGGGATTTCTATTGTCCAACCACATCTTGCCTCAACAGGCGATGTTGTCGGGTTAAGGAGTAAACTAAAAGACAGTCGGTCAAGCAAATACATGACATTAGCCCATGAAGTCACTGACTGTTGAACTAAACTCGATTGATAGGTTCATGCTGCTTGGTTGGGGTCCATACAGTTATCATATTCAGTGGTTAGAGATAGGCGACAAGGCTCACAATCGACAACTGTCTCGTAAATTCATTTGTTCTTTGTTTTTGCTTTAAGTTATGAGTCTCAAAGTCGTGTAAATTTTTCTGTGCCTAACTTTTTACACTACTACTGATACCACTACTTTCATTAATGTTGGATGTGTTTGGATGATTAAATCTCGTCGAGCTAATGTAGTATGGCGACCTGAACCAGTGAATAAATGTGCCAGGTTTTATTTTGTACATAACTGACTGAGGTAAATGTGAAATAAATACGAACTAACGAGAAATTAAAACTTCAAATCTTAGTTAAATCAACGTAACGAAACATTCAGTAGTTTAACTTATTTCTCAATCATATAACAATTCTCCAGAAATGATTAGTCAAAGTTGAAATTCATTTGGCATTGTTATTAAACTCAATTAATTGTTCAGCCCTGGACTTGTGTTAATTTTAAGTGCAATTATTATCTCTGCACAAATGTCTTTGTTTTTTTTCAATCAAGGAAACATCTGACATGATAGTTTGAACTCAGTGGATAAGTGAAATGAGATCACATTTTTTGGCATTTAGTATACATGTTTGTAAGACAATAGGCTGTCGGCATTTAATACCTTATCTGATCAAAATTAATCTAATAGGGATTTAGGGTGCGCCTTACGATTGAAAGTCACTCCAAATATAAGATAAGAACAGGTTATGTGATTTTGTTTAAGTTATTACAATGACAATTGAAAAAAATAACCAGTCAACATATATGGTTAACTCTTAGATTTAGTAATTGAAATGTCAATTATGTTTATGTTCGTCCATATTTTGATCAGTTTGAAACTGTAAAAAGCTCATGTATACACTGCAAAACAATTTGATGGGATAGAAAACATTAATACCTATTTGATTAGAAAATCCACCGATTTTAAACTACTTGCAAATAGTAAGTAGTACGTGCCGGAAATACTTCAGTTTGAAGTGCTTGTTCATCGAATTCAAAACTTGTGGTTATTTTTTCAATTCTGTTGTAAAGTGAATTTACTTGGAACGAATCAACATTTTGATCACTGGAAAAAATGTTAATGGATGGTTAATTGTTATTCGGTCAGTCAAAAAAACATTCAGTCACGTTTAACATGTTTAACATACTTGTGCACATGTTCATTTAGTTTTTTGTCAACATAGTTCGTAGTAAACTCTACAAAGGTTTACGATATCAGATTCATTACTTATGTATTGACAATTTAGTTGGTTTGTTGGGCGAATTGATAGAAACTGGACACAATCAAGAGTGTAGTCGATAATGTTATCGTCCTAATTACACTTCACTTATAGAGATTTTTACTTTTCCGTTGCCAATATTATGGACTGTAATTGATCAGTCTCTTATTGATATATGTGCATTCTGAGTGGAATTCGTCGACATTAGCATTTAACTACGTTTTTATTGGAGTTAAATAGTGGCGAGTGGTGGAACCCAGGACTCTATTTTCATCTTATTTATAACTCGTTTGTTGGATGTTCTCATATCCCAGTGTTGGCACATATTGACTATTCATTTGAGATCCTTAATATCAAAATGTGAAAAATATGAAACCTTACGAATTGAACATGCTCATTGCACAAGCCATCAGATATCTGAATACAGTAGCCTAGTGGGTAATACGTTGGGACTTGAAGCCGCAGGCAGTGCGTTGGTCCCTTAGTGTGAGCGCCAACACTGGAATGTTTGTTCATCCACCTGGTTAGTCCCAGATGATATGAAGTGCACATCTTGAATCTTACTGTTAACCACTACCCAACCATAGATTTCATGCTTTATGTTAAACATAAATTGATTTTAATTTAATACTTTTTTTCTCGCCTGTGATTGCTTGTTTAGATTCTGTTATGTTAATTTCCCTAACGTGTCTTATTTTCACTAAATTGTTTTTTAAACTTGCTATTATGAATAACGTGATGATAAATCAGTTTATGGAATACTTCTGAAATATATTTTTATTGTAGATAAAGTAGATAGATTTAGTACCATAGCAATCCATATTCAAAATCACAGTG